GCTGGATCTATATTCAACCTTGAGAGAGGAGCCTCTTGATCATAAAAAATTCAAAGGGGGGAATGTAATTATTCGACAACTGAGAATACAAATTATTTGGAACTTGTTTACACATACATATTTACACTACTAGAAAATCTCATGCTATAATATGGACGATAACAAAAAGTATTTAAGTTTAAAGTGAACATGTCGACCCCGAAACATGTCACCTGTTGTTTGACGGTGGAATCTGTGTAACGAGTGGCATCTTCACTGGTCGAAGGTTAAAAAACTGTAGAGACGAGAAGCGAAAAAAGAAACAATGTGTGTTGACTGCTCGAGAGTTGAAAGCAGAGTCAAGTGTGTAAGAAAAAAGAAAAAGAATTACATCGTTGACGAGGGGGAACTAGTCAGTTCTTATGCGTTGAGAGCGTGTCCAACTAGCGATCATTACATTAACATGTTAAATATTTTTTACTTCTATTGAGTGGAAAGAGAAATGCTGTGCTGTAAGATATAGCTTATATGTTGGAATGCGGTTTGGTTTTGGGTAATTGGTGCCTACATGACATTTCGCATGCCTTTGCAGAAAATATACTTTATATGGTTTAAACTCAATATTAACTATGATATTTAAACAAGTACCATGTACATAATCATATCCAATGTGGCAGGATCTTGTCCGTTTTGGAATACTCAAGATGGATGTTAACCTGGGAATCTGTAGAAATAAAAAAAGGACACACTATTTACTTGCAGAGGGAAATCTGTAAAATGGCTTGGGCATATTGTGTGGGTAGGTTGGTTATCGTTACTACTCGATACAAGTCTCACTTTCCGGCATTATGGCTTGAAAGTAGTACCAATAAAAGAACTATGTATATTGGCTGAAAATGCGGATTTGTGGTAGCTAATTAAAGAACATTTTTAGAATAGGTAAAAATTGACGCAAAAATAAATAAATAACTAGTATTATCAAGGGTAATATAACAAGTGATACGATTATTATCGACAATTTTTAGAATTATGTTTAGAAAAAGAATATAATGAATATGCTGACAACCATATGAAAATTATAACAGGCAGATAATAGTTTGTATAGAAATAAGTCTGTTTCGCAATCATGGTAATATATGTACCTCAGCGATAATACAACACTGTGGTATTATTACTTATTAATAATAAAATTCAGTCATCTCGATTGGTCGAAAGCAGCTTCACGTGATATAGGAATTATAGTCTCTTTTAATTATGATACGATTTGATTTGTTTCTAGCGAAAGTTTAGAATTATTGCGGAAAACTTTTCAATTTGAATTTAAAACAAAATTGTATGACCATTTTTAAATAGAAAATTAATTTGTTTATCCATTTTAATAATAGATATTGATAATAATACATTACCTAAACACTCGAAAGGTTATTTTTACATTCACAGAACACTTATTTTTAAATAAAAAAAAAAATACATTTTGCCTTTTTTTATTAATGTTTTTTATTCTTTTCAGGTAAGCAACCAGATTTAGAATCATGAAAAATTCTTCAGATTACTTGTTTTTCATTAAACAAATTGATTAATTGGTAAGTGACATAATAATTATTAATGAGAACAGCTATAATCACCATACAAAAAATATTAATTGCGTTTCACAAACTCTAGGATACAGTAAATTAGCTGTTCTAAGAAAATAAATAAAATAACCATGAATAGCTGGTATAAAATGAAAATTTATTTATTTGTAATTAGAGAATTTCAGCAAGATGCGTGTTACGATTGAAATTACTTGCAAAAAATAACTGTCATAGCCGTCGCGTCCCTCTTAGGTATTATTACGGATAGGGTAGATCTGGCAATGAATGTGTTTATAAAAATAAACAGATCTATATGTATATGTAGTTTCGTTTAAATGAAATCTACTAAAATTTAAAATTATTCTTATTTTGGTTTGTAGGACCTTCTTGAATCTAGAACAGAATTTGATTATGTCCCACTCAACCTAACTTTTTAATGTTTCGCAAGTAGGTCGGCTGAAACAAATGTATTATTCTTAGATTTATTTTATATTTAAAAATCTAAACCCAAGATATTGTTTTGTAATATTAGCCCTTTGCCCAACGCACACTCACTGTTTAAATTGTGACGTATGTGTACTATTGCCATTTTTTAATGTCTCTGTTTGGTTTCGCACTATAAAAACAAAAGTGCCACTTTACAAAAATGTACAATTTACAGGAGAGCACTTTTAACTTTTTGTAGAAAATATATTATTTCGGTGCGCCTATGTATTATTTTTATGTAGTAGTTTATGAATGTCATTTTTTTGGATATTAATTTGAATGTTCTAGTCAATTACAATTGTATAATATATTATTTAAAGTTTAATCGTAGTTAAAATTAGTATTTCCCTTGGATTTATTATTTTACACTTTCAATATTATTTTGTTCTACAAAGTTTACTTTTAAAATGCTACAATTTACTTTTAGTAGTTTCACTTTTGTTTTAAAGATGCGGTTTAACGTAATTGGAAGGAAATGTTTACTGGGCCAATCCATTTTATGCTTATTAATGGGAAAAGTCTCGTTAATTTGAGTGATGACATCCAATGCGATTATTTTAATAATTGGTTAAAAATAATTTTAAGAAATATTTTTAATAAATATAAATTTGATAATTGGGACTTGGGGGTAAAGGTAAAGTTTTAATTTTCGCGTTTGAATAACGGTTTCTTTAAATACCCAAATTTTGTAAGGCTTAAATTACTTATATCTCTTTTCCCATTACTTATATCCCTTTTCCCAGGGGTACAGAATGAGTTTAGAAGTATCGTGACAGATTTAACTCAATTTTGAATATTTTCGACTTATACCCCTTTACCCCCTAAGTGCCAATTAAGGGATGCTTTTTAACAATGACGTAACCGAAAAATCTTCGTTTTGAAGCCCTTCACTGACATCAAATGTTAATAATAAATACAGGGTTCTCATTAGGGATGGAACACAGACCAACTGAAGATTCTCTGAGTAAAAATAAAACGATTAAACGAAACATGCTTTTAAACATACTAAATTCGGTAAACATATTTAGTGTCATAAGGTACACCTATCAGCAAACCAATCAGGTAAATAAACTTTTCCAGTGGCGTACGACATGGATAAGTAACACCTTCATCCCCTCTAAATTTTACGCCACTGTCCAAAAACTTATTTGGATTATACTTTTACATTTTTTGATGTTTTTTAAACAATTCATGTACTCTTGTTGGGAACTCCGGAACTCCTAAAGTGATTGGTTTTCAAAATTAAAATTCTTCATTTTAATTTATTTTTTAATTTTGTAATTTTGTATTTTTTTATAAATTTCCAACAAGAGTACATGAATTATTTAAAAAACATCAAAAAATGTAAAAGTACAGTCCAAATAAGTTTTTGGATAGAGAGAGGATGAAGGTGTTAATGATCCATGTCGTAAATTATATTGAGAAAAAAAAAATTATAGCAATTAAAAATTTTTTAATTTTCAACTTTAGCACCCTGAAATTTCGGAAATCAGCAATATTTTATCCAGGCATGTTTCGTTTCTTTTATTTTTAATCAGAAAACCTTCAGTTGTTCTGTGGCCCATTTTTAATGAGACCCTGTACAAATAGGCTACCTTATACAACTAAATTTTGAAGTTAATCAAAGATCAACTAATAATTATACAGGGGTGTTGCGCTCTTAAATGGGTCACACTGTATATTTCAAAGATAATAGTAAAAAAAATCCAGAAGTGTATATACATTAACTCTTTTATATTACAAACTAGAAAGTTACAGTACTATACTGTAAATTTATATAAATCAACTCTTTAAATTGACATGCTAATAGAACACAGAATGTTAAATAGGTAGGGATTTTATCAATATAATGGTAATCTGACTCTAAACAGATAAATCTAAATGGTAAATTCTTTTGAACGTTAAAAATGTATTAATCACACTCTTTTGTTGAGAGTACTATAGCAAACTTTTATCTATTATTATTTCATCTACTTGTACAACTATGTTTTAAGATTTTAATATTGTAACTGTACTTGTTGCACCTAGCTGTATTCATAAAAATTATTTTTGAATAAAATGTGACATTATTCCTCTTGACTCTTTTAATGCTACTCTACTCAAGTGAGGTTAGATCAACCAAATATACATATCTATAACTAGCAATATATTAAAAATATATGTTTATTATTTTATACTCCATCTACGTCATAAATTAGATTCAATAACTAATCCTTTCTCTTCTAGTAGACTAGAACATCAATACACTTTATTTTTTCCAAATAAATAATAATATCTTCATTAGGGTGGAGCGATTTTTTTTTACTTGGTTGGGTTACACATTAGGCGCCAAAAGTTGCTCATTACTATACTATACTCTTCAGAGTCCGCATGTAACACAAAGAATGGCAAAACATTAAAAAAATACTTTTTTTTTTTAATCGAACAAGCAACTTTTTTTTATTTGCTTCACGCATTAGATCACAAATCAGATTAAAACTATACAGTTTAACAAAAAAAATATTTACTCTATTTTCGATCATCTTCAGGATCCGTATGAGAGAAGATAGCAAATATTTCAAAAAATACGCCCTTTTTAAAAAAAACTTATAAACCAAAATTATCTTAGATAAAACACCGATCTGTCACAACTTGTCGCATTAGAATGTGATGGAACTTTGATTATATATATGCTAATATAAGCTCTAAAAATATAACATAAAATCCAAGAACTTTAAGCACAGATTAAAAATATTTATTATAGGTTAGTCTAGCTATAGCTTCCGAAAAAGTTTCAGAAGACCTTGCAAAAAGGAAACCTGGCCGGTTGTCACATGCTCGTTGGTTGACTTGTGCGAGTAGGATATATTCTCGTTTGGTTCAGAATTAAAAGCAATTATTTGTGCACTGATGGAGCAACCAATCTGTTTTATTTAATAAAGCTTTTAAAATATTTGGATGAATCTATAAGAGAAGAAATCGATGCTACTATCCAAAGAAATGCTTATTTTGGCCATCCAGAAAGAATCCTCGGCCTGGTTAAATATTCACGACCTCATACAAAGAGAACTTGCCTTCCGTCGAGATGAAAAGAAATATGACAATATACCCAGGATCTTCGAAATACCTAAAATTAATTTTGAAGCTAACGACTACATTGACTGGCAAAATACTGAAGACATTAACCCTCCCGCATTATTCCAGTATTTAGATGATGAGTTCATGAATTTTATTGGAACAGGTGGCATACTAAATATTTTAAAATTCCTTTGCAACACTCAAATAGTTGAACGACACATAAATCTTGTAAACGACGTAGAGAGTCTAGAAGAGATGGATATATTCGTTCTAAGATAAAGTCCCATAAAAAAACCCTACTTGAAACAAAAAATAATTTAATTTATAAACACTGCCCTACATTTGTTGAGAGGTTTGGTGGGGCAGAGTGGGGCTTGTTTTGCGGTCACCTTCACGTGGTGAGCTCTGGGTTATTTATGTAATATTAGGTCATTTTTCCACAGAGGAATCGCTAAGAAGTGTGATAAATTTATTTTAATAAAATAGGTTTGTATTAATTTTATAACCAAAAAATCATGATTTTCACTTGGTCTGCGGAACCTCTATACCATTTTTAAAAGCAAAAAATCAAAAATTGTTTTCATCTGTATACTAATATAACACTTTTGCAAGCTAATGTACATTTAAATTAAAATAATTTATATAATTTTGACAATTTAATATTATGTAACGAAAACGCAAAAATGTAAAAATCTTATAGCCCTGCCGTCCCTCTAAATAATACTTTTTCAAAAAAAAAAAATAATATTTGTTTTCTACATTATAAGACACAGCTTTTCCACACTAATGCTATTTTAAATTAAAAGAAAAAAAATCGGATTTTTTCGCTCCACCCTTATCTTCATACTCATGCTCATCAGTGAGATGATTTTTGCAGCCAATTTAATGCCATTTATGTTTATAATGACCTGCTTATAAACACATATAGTTCCGATAGTTCATATACCTAAGACAACTTGACAACACTACTTCAAATGATAAAAATAACATGTCACAGCACATAACCTTGATAAATTATCATTAAACATATTAAAATGAACAATTAAAGATTTAACTTTATTGCTACATTGTGGAACTCGGCATAGACTAGGTTAGTTAGGTACCCTTCTTGGCGATTCCGCCTCTGTCTATCCTACACTTAAAAGCTGCACAAAATGAACTTGGGACAAGCCCCTGCTAAGTACGCTAGGTAGGCATTCACCACGCTTCATTTCGTTGTAAAACAGAAACTTCAGTGTGTAGTAAATCGCCAGTCAGTCGGTCATGGCAATGGTGGATGTAGCAGACGGCGTTGTATACATCGAGTGACTCATGATAAGGAAAAGTCGATCGAACGAATAACAAACAACAAACGCGTACGATAGAAAACAATTAAAAACATTTAGTTTGTCGAATTTTGTTTTCAGTGGTAGTGCCAAATAAGTTTCGGTTTATGTAATTAATGTTTTTGTGTCCTTTTTTTAATTACCTGGAAGAAAGGTTTTTAGTTGAAAAGTATACCTACAGGTTTTTATTTTGTTTATCCATTATTTATGTTTTTTCTTGCGGTTTAAATATGCCATGTAGAATCTTGTGAAATGTTACATGTTCGCATTACTGCCATTCTTTAATTAAATACCTACAGAGTAATTATTTATCAATACAAATAAATATAACAAACGGTTTCTGCAAATAGCCGGAAAAAAATGATGTTCATTAAAAGTGGTAGATTTCCTAAAAATGCGCCCTTTATTTTGAAAGTGCATTTATACTTAAATTAAGATATTCATTATCGATAATGTCCGAAGGCAGTGATGAAGGTAATTTTAATTAATTAGTATTTAACAAGTTAACCTCAATTTTTGGACAAGTGAATTAGTTAAATTATCAGTACGTTTAATTAATGCAGTTAAACAAAATTTACACAACTCCTTAGATATCTCAATTTAAGTATAAATGGACTAAGGCCACTTTCAAAATAAAAGGCTCAAATGCTGAAACAATCTATATCAATTTTCTAAACACATTACTACTATCGTCTATAGGGAAAGTTTTTTGTTTTAACTTGAAATGTATTTATCTTTCGTGTCTTCTGTTTACTTGTCAAATTTGTTTGCCTACATTACTCGTGCTGAAGCGGTGAAACCTTTTCCAGAATGAAATATTTATTAGACATTCTATGCATATCTAGATATTTTAATGACGTTCTATGAGATACGATGACAGGCGCCGAAATCAGACTGAGATTGCTCAATTATTTAGAGAACAACATCCTGATTTATCACCTATCAGCCAAAGTACAATTAGTAAAATGAACCACGTAACCACGATATTTAAGGAATTGGATCCTATGAAAGGTTATGCTTAGATATGGGCGCCGGCAGGGGAGGGGGCAAAGGGGGCATTTGCGCTCCTGGAAATTTCCAAGTTCCCAAATAAAAATATACAATAGCAACTTCTGTCAAACAATTATTGGGGCATATGCAATCAATAGAGCGAAAATTTGATAATTTTATATTATATTGTCTTTATTTCGGTACATCTATAGCAAACGACAATTTAGATAAAAAAAAAACAAAGCAATACGTTTAATCGTTATATTATAATATACTATAAACTGACGCAGGTAAACCATCAAAAGCATTTATTTGTAATTAAAAGACCAAAAAAATACTTAAACGGCAATATCTTCATAACTAAATTTTATTACTTATCAGGTTTTCGTTCTGAATCTTCGGTATATTTTTTAGAGTATCTAATCCCTTGAAACGGTAAATTCGACAGCATTTGACAACCACGCCTAAGCTTATTATATTCCGTATCGTATCGTATTACACGATACCGGATAGGGTCTTTAAATCCCTTCATTTCTCTAATTTGTTTTAAAGAATTCACAACTTTGCATTCTTGCCTCCCCATGGAAAAAGTTTTAGCGGCGACCATGTGCTTAGATAGAAGTAACACAACACTTGTTGGGAAGGATATGTCAGGATAAACTTGTTGTTTGTTAGCTAAAGTCAAGACCATTTAGACACTAGTTACAACTTGCGAATTAAATTTAACAAAAAATAATTAAAAAAGATACAGAAATGCCGATTTTACCAGTGGCGTAGAATTTAGAGTGAAGAACCAGTCCATTGCCACTACTGTAAACAAGCCTTTGGGAGTAATGGGAAACTTACCATAATGAGAAATTTCATTTTGATAAAGTTACTTCATTTGGATTCTTTATGGACATGACATTTTAATCTGAACATATTTTTGTAATAAACCCTTTGGTAGGTATCGAATTTAGCTAAAATACATTGACATAGTTCTAGAAGACCTAAAAATTCATAAAAAAAATACATTGACCCATACGCGTATAAGGATTTTTAGTAATTGAGAAATTTCTAAACCGTAAAAAAACTGTAAGCATAAAATTTAGATGAACTTACTAACTTATTTACTGCTAGAAGGGTAGGTACTCTCAGGCCCGGTACTTTCACCTATAGATATATAAGCTTTTATCTCCAGATTGCTATCCTACAGATAAGTTAACTAGAACTCATTATCTATAAGTACGAGTACTTTCATTTTGAATTCTCCCATAGATAAATATCTGAGAAATGTACTAGTAGACACTACTTAAGTTAAATGCAGTGAGTGTTCCTGTTTCGTTACAATTGTACTAAACGATTTGAACCAGTACTTCAAAACGATTTTTTAAAAAATTAAGAAATTCCGTACGAAATCTGAAAATCAACAAAAAAAATCAAAATTTATTTTGGATAAACATATAAGGTAAAGTCACCAGTAGTTGACACATTAAGAAAATAAATTTGGTTATATTTTTTATAGCTCTAGTTTTTGGGTATTTTATTAAGGTTTAATTTTTTTGGTAATCTTTGATCTTTTTGGAACAACGTATTTAAAAAAAAAACGATTTTAATTTTTTATGGCTTATAAATTTTGATTAGAAAATGTACAACAAAATTACTAGTAGTTGACATTACATATTTTCTTTAGTAATTGACACGTCAAAGGACCAGTAGTTGACAGCGTATTTTAGACAAAAAAAGGAAACAGTAACAAGTCTTTATTTTTTTTAATAGTGATGAGATGAGAAATTACAATAGAGGGAGAGACTACTAAATTACGTGAATTGATTCTATGGGCTCCAAATATAGAATATAAGTCTATAATAGTGAAATATTGGGCATATGAACTCAAATTTCAGCTAACAATGGCAAATAACACATTCATAAATTCTGTGTGTATAATCATTCATCTGCAAGTTACAATAAACATTAAACATCTACAAAAATGGCAGAACTAAATTCATATCTTACACGATCACCAAAAGAAACAATATTTGGAGATTTCAGTTTTTTAATAATCTGGCTTCTGTTTATAACACTTAATCCCTTTCTTTAAGTCTTAAAATATTCTTTGCTTCATTACAGTAATTTAATCCCGTTACTTCAGTTTCGAATGGTTAAGGTTGTTTTTGAATGTTACACATATACCGATGTGACCTTTGTTTTCTGAAAATGAAACACACGAAGTCTTCTTTCTTAAACTTGAAGTAACATTAATTTTCTACATAATTTTTTGAATCCGAGTCATTAGCGTGTACATTGAAACTAATAGCATCCGTGCTACTACCAGATTCTACCCACTCTTCAGATTCAGTATTATCACTTGATGCATGTCTGCTTATTTTTTTGTATGGATTTAGGTTTATTTTCTTTTGCAACTAATCTGTTTTTCCGTTTTTCTTCCTCCTCAGCCGATTTCAAGTCTCTTTTTTGCCTCTTAACAGCTCTTTGCAACGTTTGAACCTCTTTATCTTTCTTTTCTTGTTCCTTTATCTCCCTGTAACCTTGCCATGTTTTCGACGTTACTGGCAATTTTTGAGGGTAACTCTTGGCATATTGTGGTTTTTAGCTGCTGTTGCTCCAGAAACACCCCGTGAAACATCTGCAAGATCATTTTTAATTTTGTCTTCACTATATTTCAGCATTTGTCCTTTAATAGGCAGCATCTCATTCTTTCTATTCTGTAACGCAAATTCAAAAATGAGTCGATCTAGTAGTTGACATCTAATATACCAGTAGTTGTTATGGGTGTCATCTATTGGTCCAATTAACAATACAAACTTTAGAAAAATAGGGTACCGTTTACTCACCAATGTGAATTCATAGAAAATTTTCAAAACATAAAAACGTAATCTTGTTTATAAGCCAGTAATTGACACCTCCATTTGAAGGTACTAACATAATATTTTAGCTTATTAATTAACAAATTTTATAAAATTT